CCTCTTCCCCCTGCCCCCTGCTTTGCGGGAGGCTGATATCCACGCGTCGCGAACCTGGGTGGGCGCTCCGTTTAGTCGTGGCTGCTGCTTCAAACCGTGGCGCGCTCGGAGAAGAAGTCGCGCGCACAAAAAAGCAAGCACTACCGATTCAGCCGTCCATGTGCTGAGTCGACTTGCATGGCTGCGCTGGTCGCGTAAAGGAACCCGCTGGCAATCAAGCCGACGCGCGCAAGCTCGGAGCGCGCCACGACGACCTATCACCGACACGGAGTGGCCGCAGAAGCAGCCACAGAAACGCCCCGGATAACCCTTGCAATGACTGGGCGGGTGTGCCGAGGTTTCGCCTGCTGCCCGCGCGTGGCCGCCCGTGGGCGCCTGGTGGGCGCCTCGTGCGTCACTTCGCTGGAGTTCCCCTGACAGCGGCTGCATTTTTAGGAGATCTGGCTTCGGTAACCTAACGAACTCGGTCAATCATGGGTGGAGGAGGAGGAGGAGAAGAAGAAAGAGGAGGAGGAGGAGGAGGAGGTAGGAGGAGGAAGAGGTAGGAGGAGGAGCAGGAGGAGGACGGACTGACTTCGGTGACCTAAGGAGTTAGTTCGATGGGTGTGCAGAGGCGTCGCCTGGTGAAGAACGGCTGGCAGGTGCCCGTGGGCGCCTCCTCGTGCGCCGGTATGGGCGTGCGCCGAGGCTTCGCCCGGTGGAGCGGCCTGGTGGGCGCCTCGCAAGCCAGTGGCTTGGGCGGCTCGGTGTCGGCGTGCTGTCGGCAGGAGGAGGAGGAGGCGGAGGAGGAGGAGGGAGAGGAGTCCTCTCTCGTCCTCCCTCCCAGCTCCTCCTGCTGCTCCTCGGCACCCTCCTCTCCTGGCCTCTGCCGCTTCAACTCCTGCGCCTCCTCCATGGCTTCAGTATAAGTATCCTCTCTCTCTTTCTCTCTTCTTCCTCCTCCTCCTCCTCCTGCTGCTCTTGCTGCTCCTCGTCCTCCCCCTCCTCCTCCTTGCATGCTCCCCATGGGCGGCCGCTCCTCTGAGGGCCGCTACGCTCTGGAGCATCTCCGACACGGACGGAGACCGCCACCAAACGAGGGCGGCGTCGGGCACATGTCCTTCCCGGCTGGCACGCCCACGAGACGAGGCCCTCGCTGATGGGAGCGGGCTTCCGGACCGCCGCTCTGGCCACGAGCACGCATGCTCGCGATATGCACGCATGCGTTCCCCGACTGCTCCGCTATCCGCACTGCACGACCTATTGCGTCGCATCACACACATGTTATCTGCAAGATGTTTCATGCTCCTCTCGCTCGGATCTGAATTCGCAGTCGCATGATGTCCATGGCGGTACTGCTAGATCGCCTGCGCGCGTGCCTGCATGACTACGTCTGCGAGCATGTGCGAACACATGATCAGCGTGACGCGTGGCGGCATGAAGCGCGCCTGGGCGTATAGTTTGACGGGAGCCTCATGAATGAAGCAGTATTGCTCTGGTTGCGTCGTCTCTCGATTGATTTACTCAGGAAACCACGCGATCCGACCTGTGGCTTCCGACGGCTGCCAGATTGCATATGCTGCTGATGTTGTCTGGTTTCGGCCCCGCGGCCAAGTGCACGGACACTGACGAAGGCGTCAAACGTAATACGATCCGTCCATGGAGCGGCTCAGAGTATGGGTACCCAGAGATTGTCGGTGACGAGTCCTGGTGTCATATTCTCTGATGGCAAGACGGTCTCCGTGAACAACACACAGCTGCACCAAACGCAAGCGAGACTCCGCAGTTACTGTCCTCGCGCGAGCTGGCACTCCGATCGCCTCGGAAACTTGTTCATAATAGCGCTCAACATCCATCAACCGTCTGTCTGCATATTCACCTCTGCCTTGCTTCTGAAACGCCCCCGCTCGTCCTTCTCAACGTCCATCTCTTCCCCTGTTCCTCCTCCTCCCCTCCTACTCCTTGTGCCATCATCAGCATCATCATCAGCAGCAGCATCGGTGACATCATCATCAGCATCAGCATCATCATACTCACAATCACCATCACTATCACCATCATAACCATCACCATCAGCAACATCAGCAACAAAATCTTCATTAGCATCAGCATCAGCATCAGCATAATCCTCAGCATCATCCTCACCATCACCATCCTCCCCATCATCACCATCATGATCAGCATCATCACCATCAGCAGCAGCAGCCTCAGCATCATCATCAGCAGCAGCATCATCAGCATCATCAACTGCAGCATCAGTATCATCATCATCATCATCATCATCACATCGTCGTTACCATCAGAAGCATCATCACCATCACCATCACCATCACCACCACCATCACCATCAGCATCGCCATCATCATGATCATCATACACATCTTCGTCCTCGCCCTCATCGCCACCACAATCGCCACCACCATCACCATCATCATCATCATCATCATCCTCAGATTAACATCATCATCAACATCATAATCGTCAGCAGCAGCAGCATCATCATCGTCATGATCGCCAACCTCCTCTGCATCATCACCATCATAATCAGCATCAGCATTAGTATCATCATCACAATCAGCATCATCATCATCATCATCAACATCATCATCATCAGCAGCATCATCACCAGCGTCATGATGCTTGTCCTCCTTCTCCCCCGTCTCCTCCTCCCGATTTACAATCATCGACTCCTCGTCCTCCTTGTCTTCATCCTCCTCGTCCTCCTCCTCCTCCTCCTCCTCCTCCTCCTCATCATCCCCCTCCGCCTCCTCCTACTGCTCACTTTCTCATACTGTCCCGCTTCTCCTCCTCATCATACTCATCCCCTCCTCCTCCCCTCCCCCCGCCCCCCTCCTCCTCATCTCCCTCCTCCTCATCCATCCCTCTCCTCATCATACATCCCCCTCCTCCTCACCATCTTCCATATCCCCCTCCTCCTCCTGCTCAATGCTCATCCTGCTCTCGTCTCCTCATGCCTACTACTAAGTCCTCCTCACCCTCCTCATCAGCCTCCTCATCTCCGCCTCCTCTCACCCCCCGCCCCGCTCACCCTCCTCCTCATCATCCCTCCCTCCTCCTCATCCTCCCTCCTCCTCATCCTCCCTCCTCCTCCTCCTCATCCTCCATCCTCCCCTTCCTCCTCCTCATCCTCCCCCTCTTCATCTCTCTCCTACCTCATTCTCACTCATCCTCCTTCTGCTCCTCCCCTCTCGACTGCGGCCCTCCCTCTGCGCTCTCATAGGGCTCATTCGCCTCCCCGCGCCAAGGCCATGACGGCCCAGAAACCACAGGCACGCAGCACGACGACGACGACGACGACGACGACGACAGAGCTCCTCCGAGAACGAGGGGCGGGAAAGTGAGGTGGAGGAAGAGCACGAATAGAAGTCAAATTCTCAAATTCAACAGGTCGAGCGAGTCCGTGAGTCTCGCCCACTCCGATCCCTCCTTCCGTGCCATGGAGACTGGAAACTGACGTCAACATCGCCCAACAACTACTATTCAATAAAAAAGTTCCGGCCTGTTTGGTTTGAGAATTCCAGTGCGAAGCGAAGATGACGTGGGGCGCCGCACATGCCCGAGCGGGGAGGTCAGGGCGACCGCTGTATACCAAACATTGATTTCATTTTGACGCGCTAGTCCCCATGCGAAGTCAACGCAGCGTTCACCGCGCGGATCTAGATGGCGCGATGATCGAATGGTCAGGGTTTATCTGGTTTGTGAGCGCGGATGGAAAATGAACTCGGGGTTCACCGCTCATGCGTTGTTGCGTGTTGTTGCATGTTGAGGTGCTCGCGCGCTGGCTACGCTGTCTCTTCAACTAGTGAACCCGAATTCAGTGCGCACGTGTTTCGTGTTTCTACCTGGCACCGTCTCAGCTTGGAGTTGGGCTCTTGCTGAAGGCGTACATGTGCAAAACATTGTAATGAGGCGCAGTGCGATGCAGAGAGACGCACAGTAAGTAAAGGGATAGCATCGCGCCGCCTAGAAGGTCATCACATAGCAGCAGTGCTGAAGACATGACCGAACATATTGCACAGCATTACACTGCTTAGAATAGCAAGGCATCGCATGCCATGGCATAGCCGTGCACAGCGTATCACAGCAAAACATGGCATACCATTTCATTCCAATGCATGCCATAGCAGTATAGGGCAGTAGCGCATGGCAAAGCAAAGCATCACGTAGCATAGCCCAACATTGCGTGGCATAGTGTTGCAGGGCATATCGAAGCAGATTCGCGCGGACATGAATTCTCGACCTCGGCCCTGTTCGGAGAGGCGGAAGCGGCGAACACGAAGGTTTGGGGCCCCACCGGGGCCCAAAATCTGACCGATCTGGCCAACATCGCCGCCTTCCCCCGAAGCGCAGACCGCATATCCCCCATGTAGATCGACAGAAGTTCTGGCCAGCGTCCATATCAGTGCATATCACGCCCTTGAAGAGCAGGACCTAGTCGGAGTGAGGGGCTTCCGCTCACGCGAATACATTTCAAGTCGTGCGCGCGCTGGCTGCTTCGGGGCAGGCAAACGTCGTCGCTATACTACTATTATTGTTATGAATATTATTAGTATCGTTATTATTATCATACGTATTAGGATTATTATGATCATTCGTATTATTAGTAGTAGTACTATCATTATTACTCTCTTCTTCTTCTTCCTCTCATCATTCTGCTTCTTGTTCTTTCCGGCCCAGGGCGGGGGGAGCCCGGCGGGGCCCGGACGGCGGGGCCCACGCGCACGTGTGGGGGCCCGCAGGGGGCGCCGCAGGGGCCCCACTGCGCGGGGCCCGGGGCGTCGCGGGGGCCCGTCGCCGCGGGGCCTACGGGCGGCGCCGGTCGTGTGGGGCCGGTGGGAGGGGGGCCCCCTCGCGGGGGCCCCGCGGCGTCGTGGGGGCCCGTCGCCGCGGCGCCCACGGGTGGCGTTGGCCATGGCTTCGCGGAGATGGAACGAAAACGAAAGAGAAAATCGGCGCCCGCTGCGGGCTTCTCGTCATTGAATGTTCCGTAGAACTCTTTCCAGGAACCTGTCTGGGGGGCCCGCGGAGTCGTCGGGGCCCGTCGCCGCGGGGCCAACGGGTGGCGCCAGTCTTGGCTGCGCAGAGATGCAGCAACGCTGAAGTGTGGCTGTTTCGAGGCTCTGGTCGGCGGGGCGAGTGACTGCGGCTTCAGCCGCTCGTGCTCCAGCTGCTACCTGTGCTGCTGCCGATGCGCAAAAAAAAACGCCTTCGGCGGGCTCCTTCATTGAATGCTTCGTTTCACTTGTTTCCGTAAGCCGTCTCGGGGGGGGGTGGGGCGCGGCGTCGTGGAGGGGCCCATTGGTGGCGCCGGTCTTGGCTGCGCAGACATGCATGCTCCAAATGTTAAAAAAAATCGGCGCCTGCGGCGGGCTTCCTCTTGGATCAGTTCACTGCGCGTCGCGCCGAGACCACAGCAACCCCTCACTCCTATCCGCACTTGCGCGGGCGATGGCAGAGCATGACAAGGCGTACAACATGCAATCGCAAAGCATAGCATGGCCGAGCACGGCATGTCATTACGAGCATGTCTCGTAGCACACGGTTGCAACGTAGCACGTTTCGTAGCACACGGTTGCAACACACAGAAAGTATCGCATACTACATCATAGCATGGCAGCGGGTAGTCGTTCATATTAGAGATTAGAGTAGGGATGCATTCCACAGCGTTGCTTAGCATGGCTTTGGAAATAATGGCGCTGCCCAACTACACTGCTGGGCATTGCATAATGCAGCAGCTCGCACCGCTGAACAGCAGCATAACCTGGCAGTGCATAGCACAGCACGGCACAACACCCAGGCGGGGGGGGGGGGGGCAAAAACCGAGGACTGGAGGCCTCGAGTCCAGGGTGCAGCGCCAGAACAGGGCCGAGCAAGGACCCCCTCATGGGCTGAGCCTACTGCGGGAGATGGTTGCCCGCTTGCCCCATGGACCCACTTTCGCTGAGCTTGGCGAGGAAACAGCACCCGCCACGCCCAACACCGGAACCTCAACGTTCGACCGAAAGCTTCGCGGCGCCCAAGCAAGATCAAGACTTGCCCTCTCGCACACGCCCCGCTTCCGATGGGCCCCGTGGCCGAACAAGAATCCCCCGCGCCCAAACGAGATAGCACGTTTTGGACAACGTCTGTGCGGCACTCAAGGAAGAACATCGTCTGCTCTTTCGCGCATCAGTCTGATTCCGACAACCAAGCGACCGGCAAACACTCGCCGCACTTACGTGGGAGGGCAACTTTCTGGAAAGAGCAGCGTAACGCTGAGGCGATAAAACAAACCAGAACATCTTGTGTGTTTACGCACGATGTGCGCCGCGTCCCGTTCCAGACATACGCAGTGCAACGCCGAATGCAACACCTCCATATTGAAAAGGTCAACAAACAAGCCGATACAGTGCTGTCTTTGATTTGCATTTGAGGTGAACCTCGCCACTCGGGGTTGCCATCGGAACGGGAATGAGAAGAGTGGTTGCATTGCGAATTCGGGAAAGAGGATACGAACAATAGGAAGGGGCGGAGAAGGAGGCGGACGAAAAAGAGGGGAGGGGGACAAAAAGAACGAGAACGAACTCGCGGAGCCCAAGATGTAACACTCGCCGATGCTGACCGATGCGCCGAAACACAAAGAAGGGAGAGGATGATGATGATGATGAGGAGGAGGAGGAGGAGATGGAGAAGGAGCAAAAGCAAAAAAGGCGAGGGAGGAAGGAGGACGAAGAGGAGACGAGGAACAAGAGGTGGATGAGAACGTACAAGGGATGATGGATGGGGCAGAAGAGGGAATAGAGGAGGGAGTAAGAGGAAGTGAACATGGTGGTGGAGGGGAAGAAGGCCGACGGTAAGGGGAGGCAATAATGGCAACGGGGAGGGAGGAGGAGGACCAGTGTAAGCCCAAGACGCATCTTTGATATTGTAGTAAACCCTCCCTCCAAGTTCCCTCTTCACAGGGCCTTATAGTGATCTGTTATCATGCCAGGAAGTGGTCCATTAGAAGGCAAACCTCTGATAATCCCCAGTCGTGCAACAAAAACATTGTTCCTGGGGCATCAGCGCGGCGGAAAAAAAGTGACTGCTGCGTCATTCCTGAGACTTCAACACCTCGAAGCAACGTGACTGTAGCGTCCTGGCACTCCTGGATCGCGCCATAGTGCCATTCCTGGGACTTCGACCGTACGCGACCTTGAAACACGCTGCAAACTTTTACACTGAATGTGCGCGGCGCCCCGGCGAGAGCGGCGTTTTGAAAACGATCCGCCCTGCATTCGTGAAACAGTTGCGAACTCTTACACCACGAAAGTGCGCGGCGCCAAAGCGAAAACCACATGTTGAAAAGGGCCCGCCCCCCTCCGCAAACGCGTGGCAAGCTTTCAAAACGAGTGTACGCGGCGCTACGACGAGAACCACATGTCCAGATGTTGAAAACGGCCCGCCGTCCATCCGTTAAGCTGTTGCACTATCTAAAACGAGTGTGCGCGGCGCTAGAACGAGAACCACATGCTGAAAAGGACCCGCCCTCCATCCGTGAATGCGTTGCCAATGACACGCTTCAGGATCATACATGGCGAGGAAGTCTCAGGAGGAACGCCTGGCCCGCCCGACCGACATGTATGGAGAAGCGACAGGGAGGAGTTGTGAGAAGAAGGAGGAGGAGGAGGAGGAGGAGAGCAGGAGGAGGAGGAGGAAGAGGAGGAGGAAGAGGAGGAGGAGGAGGAGGCGAAGGAGAAGGCGGTGCAAGAATGGGAAGACCCCCCCCTCGCTTCGCTCCCGCCGAACGTCCTCCCCCCCCCCTCCCCCCCCCCCGGCCGCCTCTGCAAGAGCCCGACGCCGCGGGGTCGTCTTCGGTCGGGTAGCGCCACCTGCGGCTGAGGCGCGACGAAGACATGCCAGACCGAGGCAAGATACGGCGAGGGGAGGGGACGGGGAGGCGAGGGAAGGGAGGAATCAAGGGCAACCCCGACGTGGTCCGCCCCCGTGTCCTCTGAAGGTCTCCTCGTCGAATCGCAGAGCCCAGGAATGGGAGAGTTTCGTCCTCAGCGCTGATCCTGAGAGGGTGGAGGAGGAGGAGGAGGAGGAGGAGGAGGAGGAGGAGGAGGAGGAGGAGGAGGAGGAGCAGCAGGGCATGTGCTGCTGAGGGTGTCATAAAGTCTTTGGAGCACGTGACTCTGATTCCCCCCGGGTTTCCTCACCACTGCGATCCCCATCGGCTCCTCAGCCCGTATGACAATCGAATGCTTACGTAATGTTTCTTGCGTATGGAAGCGTTGGAGAAGGAACGGGCATAGTGGCGCAGATAGATCGGTGGTGCTGGAAGAGCATGACTCGTATCCAGAGGTAGAGTAGAGCAGCAGAGCACACCCATTACAGCATCCCCCCCGTCATTCACTCAGCAGCTGAAGCTCCCACAATCATTCGTATGGTTCAACCCTCATTGCAGTCTTCTTCATGAACCAGCCGCTCCATGACCGCCCACACACTGCCATCATAACTCATCGTGGCTCCGCTCTTGTCGCTTCCCCCCCTCTCTCTCTCCTCCTCCTCATTCTCCTCGTTCTCCTCCTCCTCTCCTCCTCCTCCTCCTCTGGCATTAAGATCATCATCAGTATTATCCTTATCCGGTCTTCCTCCTCCTCCTCCTCCTCCTGCTCCTCCTCCTCCTCCTCCTGCTCCTCCTCCTCCTCCTCCTCGTCCTCCTCCTCCTCCTCCTCCTCCTCCTCCTCCTCCTCCTCCTCCTCCTGGCATCCTGATCATCATTATTCTCGTCATTCTCTACTCTTCCTAGTCTTCTTCCTCCTCCTCCTCCTCCTCGGGCACGTCCTCCCACAGGCGGACTTCGGGCGAACTGCGTGACAGGGTCAAAGCTGGCCAAACATAGTCAAACGAGTAATCAGTCGAAACGTCGTCCCCAGGCTGTGCTTCGACTGCTTTGGAGTACGCCTCCCGTCGAGGGACGAGCCCGACTCCACGACGGGGCCCGGGGCCCCCGTGCTGGGACGCCGCCCTGCTCGGAGGCTCGCCCGGCTCCGACTCGGAGGCAGCGCAAGACGACCTCGAGTCAGGTCGGGCGTGTCCCCTCTGCAGGCGGCTTTTGGACGGAGCATCAAACATATCCAAACAAAAAGACTCACAGGTAGCCCAAAAAAAATCAGAACATCGTCCCCCGACTTTTCTCTTACTACTCTGGAGTATTCCCCCTGTACAGGGACACGCCCGACCTAAACCTCGAGACGCACCACCGCTCTGTCTCCCCTGAGTGCTGGGTGCTCTGCGCACCACCTGGGAAGCGACGAGCTTGCTGGAGCCGAGGACGAGTTCGCCTTGCCGGCAGCAGGGCGGCAATCCGAACACCTTCCTGGAAAGCAGACGGTTTCGCTCGGGGCGGTCTCGCCAGGGGGCTTCTGCGTCGCGCGGTTCTGCCTGGAGCCTCTTCCAGGCGGTTTCGCCCAGGTGACGACTTCTCAGCTGTGCGCAAATGGCAGCCGAATGTCAGAGGCTACCTAACGGGTCCGCCTGTCAGTCTGGAGGCCATTACGCAGTACGCTGGCAACGAGCCAAACCAAGGCCAGATTTTTCAGAATGATGGTCCGTTGCGAGTCAGAAGGACAGACCAGCTCCGCCTGCAAGATAGTTCGAGTGACCAAGCACTATCGGGATCGAGGGAGGAAGCGGCGTGAAAGCCAGCCAACCACGACGACTTGAGCGACTTGACGGGGATGCCCGCGCTCAGCGTGCTGCTGGTCATGACAGGGCGGAGGAGAGAAGGTCCCAGTCCAAAGCCGATGCGAGCCGAGCATCGATAATCGGAGATCGGGGCGCCTACGCGCGGAGCTCTGGACCGATGATCGAGTTCTCGGCGACAAGCAGTGGCGAAGCATGCTCGCGAAGAGGGGGGACGGCGGGGGCGGGCGAGCCTCACAAAGCGTGAAGGCAGACAGCGCTGCTCCCCTGGCGCCCTCCTCAGTCTGCTCACTGTTCTGCTCCCCGTCGCACTCTCTCTCTCTCTCTCTCTTTCTCTCTCTCTCTCTCTCTTTCTCTCTCTCTCTCGCTCTCTCCTCTCTCTCTCTCTCTCTCTCCCTCTCTCTATATATATGGCCGCCAAAGAGCAGACTATAGAAGAGACGAGACCCTCCATTGACTAGAGGAAGAAAAAACACATTAACATGAATTGTTGGAGATCCGCACGGATTTCTTGGCTCCGCGCCGGACCCCGCTCCCCAGCGCGCGGAGCGCGCCAGGGGCGGCGCCGCTGGCGCCGCTGGGGAGGCCCAGCGCGGATCCAAGAAATCCGCGCGGACCGTCGAAAGTTTATGCTGATGTCGTGTTGTCTTCTTCGATTCCTGTGGTGTCTGGTGAACCCCCATTCAACCTAGTCCATCCTAGTCCCCGCCGTGCTTGGACTTCGAAGGAAAACCTACACCTTCGCCCAGAGGGCAACATCCCGCATAGCCAGATTGACCCGCATCCTCCTTGCCCACGCATCCCGCGACGCTCCGGCGCGCACTGTGCGGCCCAGGTGGTCCAGCTCCAGCAGCGCTGAAGCGCGTCGAAACAGCAACTTGCGGACGTGGCTGTTCGTCTCGTGCGAGCGCAGCTCACCGCGGCCCGGGTGCTGCGAGCAGGGGTGGTGCCTGCCCCGGGTGGAAGAGCAGGCATGAAGAGGGGAAGCAAGCTCGATGAGTAAGCCACTGCCTGCGACCATCACTAGCTCAAACAGGATTTCCAATCCTGGCACGTCTGGTATCTCCGCATTCGCTCTCTTCAAGTCTTCAAGTGGCTTGAAATTTCCCGTCAAGAGTAACCTTTCATGCTGCAATGCTGTTTTTGCGACATCGTGAAGCACCAGAGTGAGGGGCCAGTCGTGCGCTGTCCTTGGGTGTGTGGCTGAGGGGAGACTCCACGGTACGGATTCTTGCTGTCGTCGTCTTTGCTGGCCTTCCCGTCGTCGCCCCGCGACCAGCCTCGCGACCTGCCTGCTTTTGCAAGCTGCGTGAGTAGAGCTGCGACCCGTCTGCGACTCCCCTCGTGACTCGAAGCGTCTGCAGATCCACGACACAACACCGCAAGGTCACCGAACGCGAGCCTGTGCTGCTCTTGTGGCTACTCCCTGCTGGCCTGCAATGCGCGTGACCCGCGCCCGACGCCCGCAGACCCGCGCATCCCCACGCGACCCGCGCCCGCCGCTGGGCCCGCTGGCCTTCCGCGACCCTCGGCGACAGGCGACCCACCCCCCCGCCCCCGACGATTAAGCCCTTGGGAAGGAGGAGGAGAAGGAGGAGGAAGAGGAGGAGGAGAAGGAAGAGCCCCCCTCCCCTCCCTCTCGACCTGCCTCTCGACCGCGCCCGCCTGCGACCCTCGCGATCAGCTCCCCCCCGCCCCACCCGCCAGGGCGCCACCTGCGGCCACCGGCCCCCGCGGGGTCTCGCAGGGCGCCCAGCGTGGGCATCGGACCCCTGCAAGCTGGGGGTCGCCGGCCTGCGACCCGCACGTACCTGAGGCCCTCACCCACGACCCGTCCGCGATGCGCCCACCACTGCGCCGAGACACGAGTCCAGCGCCCGCGCATCGCCCGATACGATTGCTCCCCCCCTCCTCTCCTTGAAACAGGATGTGGTGGTGCGCGCGGGCTCCTCCCCAGCGGCACCGCACCCCTGCGGCGGGCCGGTTTACCCTTGCGTGGCCAGCGGCCCTCCAAAGTGTCGCACGCGTTCTCACGCAGACGTGCATGCAATGAACGTGGGCATCTGACCCCTGCAAACTGGGGGTCGCCGGCCTGTCTCTTCACTCGCAGCGTCGTTACAGGCTCTGCCCGCGGCAATGCAGCCCAGGTGCCCTCTCACTCTTACCCCGCAACTGAGGGGGTCAACACATCCTCGCCCGGACGGGTGCAAATGCCAATGTTGGCCCTTCTGCCCTCAAGGGCGCTGGCAGTTCTTAGACTCATCCAAGCGAGCCTTACACGAGTGCACACGCGGGTCATCCCGCCTCCCAGCCCACCTGTCCAAAATGTCCAGCACCTCTGGGGACTCCTCGCGAGCGGGCAGCGGGAGATTGTGGAATGGGGCAGCGGGGGGAAGTGCTCAAACATAAGAGGCGGGAAAGCACAGCATTGCAGGGATGTGCGCCGCACCTAAGGGGGTCTTGCTGGCCAAGACTTGTCTACATCCTCCGAACCAACTCTTCTGTTTCTTACGATCGACATCATCAGTATCACGATATTACTCGTCGTCGTGCTTATCCTCTGCCTCCTCCTCCTCCTTCTCCTCTCCCTCCTTTCCCTCATCATCATATTCCTGCTTCTCCAGCTCCCCCTGCGCCTCCTCGCACTCATCCCCGTACTCCTCCTCCTGCCTCCACCTCTTCCTCCACCTTCTGACCCGCAGCTGGGGCAGGCGGGCTGGTGAGGAGCCCACGCGGTGCTCGGCGGAAGGGAAGCCTCACAGAGCTCGCCTGGGCGGGGGAGTGTGGGCTCCACTCGGTCGCCCGAGGGCTGCCCCGCCCTGCCATGGCTTGGCGCTGGGGTCGGCTCCTCTGCGGCGGAGGCCAGGCTCGCGGGCGCGAGGAGGGCGGGCACCGTGCTCACTCGCACCGCGTGCCCCGCACGGAAGGGTCGCAGGCGGCGCCGTGGTCCCCAACCTGCAGAGCACGGGCGGGTGTGGCCCGGGGCGGCACGCGGCGCCGCTGCCCGAGCCGGTGGTCGGGAGTGCAGCAGCACTCGCGCGCAGCAGTGGTCTTTTGCGTTCGCTCGGGCAGCACTCTGGGCAGCACTCTGGGCAGCACTGCCCGCACCCTCGCTTCCCTGGCGGGGTCGAGCCTCGCGCCGAGGGGTGCCGGCACGTGCTCCTCGGGCGCAGGTGCCGAGGCAGATAC